CTCACACAGCCTGGGTAGTGTTACACAGAGGTGGATGCTCTTATTGTCAGATCATCTGTATTAAAGGAGCAGAAGCTGCTATCTGTAATGGAGTAATCCCTACTTTGAGACTGACAAGATGCATTTCCTAAAGATTTCAAGGGTGTGATCACAAGCAGAAATCAGATACTTATGCTCTGATCCTCTCAACTGGAGGACAAATGCTTATGTCCTCACCTTTCATGTATGCCAGTTTAGGTAGTTTTCCAGCTCACACAATTACCATTCTAAGGCACTGGCTGCTTCTTTTAAAGAAGTAGCAAGCATAGCTATGTAATTCAGGGATGACAATCTTGCTTCCAAAAGTAAGCGTTGTAATGCTGAATACTGTAGTGTCTTTGTGCTTCCATTTGTGAATCTAGCCATGATACTAGGCCATGAACAAATTACAAGTGTCAAACAATGCCAAAAGACAAACACAGAGAATAATTAATCCTCTAGTAAACATTTACATCCAATTCAGTGTTGAAAAGAATACAAATCTACCTTGTACAACCCAAACCTATGCTGCAGCCAAGGGCCTCTTCCAAGCCTGCAAGAAATCTGCCAAAGAAGGCAAGACATTTATTCCCTGACACCAGATTAAGTACAAAGCAGATATTGTGATACCATTCAGCTCTCAAATACTTGACAAGTTAGGTTTTAAAAAGGTACAGACCAGACTTTTCATAGTTAAGATAAACACAAACACTCAACTTGTGTTTCTAAATATATCGTTTACTTATAGTTAAATGTTAACATCTGAACAGAAATCCGCAAGCACGCAGGCATAATCTTTCAGTGATGTTTCTGCTTAAACTGAAGTCCACAGTAGCCACATGTTCCTGTCTTCGTATCTTTGTCCTGCAAAAAAAATAGAAATACAACAGCTGCCAGTTTCAGTTTACAAAACTTACAGAAGTTATACATTTTCTTATATACACGTGTCATCTTAAAACTGATCAATATAGCTGAAGTACAGAGTTTAATCTTATTTGAAACACTGGAAGTAAGAATGATGGTATAAGGTTCATGCTTGATTTCTGCATCAAACACAGCTTCCCTTTTGCCAGCCTTTTAACTACCAGGTCTAATTTTAAGTCAAGTCAAGTGGTATCTCTTCAGTAATAAAGGATCCTCTTATCAAACTGGACATCTTAAGTCAGTTCAGTCGTATCTATTCCAACATTCTGAAAAGATAATTTCATAATTATTTTAATACAGAATAGGATTTGGCATTTCCAAGTTATATCTAGACAAGAATTTTGGCCAGTAATGGATTAGAAATCCGAGTTTTATATTAGGCACCAAGTTAAATTAGCATCTCAGGTGATTACTCCTTTTACTTTCTTCAACTAGCATGCCAAAAATGGTTAATCTTAGAAAAAAGAATTTATGGGCAAAACATGCTACGTGCAGACAGAAAATATTACCAAGTTTATGTATACTTTAGGATGTCCCAAAGCTCCACCACCACCATCACATGATATCACTCTGCTTTCAACTTCGCTCACAGGCTGCTCTGCTATCAAATCAATTGCAAAATTCTTGTTCACCTGCAAGAGAAAAAGGAAGCTCTCAGATACCTTCCCCACTCAGACAGAAAGCAATTGCTATTTGCCACCTCCCCAAGCAGTTCCACTACAGCCATCTCGAGAAGTTCCTGCGTAGGTTTCCTCCCACCTCCTCTACCAACTCTCAAGGTGTGCTATGAGCCATATCAGTGAACTAAGCATGTTAAACTCTGCAAAAGTAATCCCCTTCTGCTGATACATAGACTGCATCAGTGCTCAGGTTTACAATGTGACCTAAGCAGATTCAGCAGAGAGGTCAG